TAAAGTATCATGTCATCTGCAAATAAAGATAATTTAACTTCTTCTTTGCCTATTCTTATTCCTTTTATTTCTTTCTCTTGTCTTATGGCTATAGCTAATGATTTCAGCACTGTATTGAATAGAAGTGGTGATAGAGGACATCCTTGTCTTGTATCAGATTTTGGTTGTTTTCTCTGATGCTTAGAAGCATTTTATTTGATGTGGTCCAATTGTTGATTCTTTTATTTATTTTTTTTGCAGTAATGGGGATCAAACTTAGAACTGCTCTTTTGTCGCTGAGCTAGCTCCCACCCCAGTTGATTCTTGATGTTATTTCTTGTATAATTGGGAAGGGTTATCATTTTGAGCATCTGTCATATCGGTGTGTTCACAAGGCCCCCCTGGTCACTTAGAGATGGTTATAATTTTATGAAAGGATCTCTGCTTTTTAGCCCTTATAGGTATCGTTTTTGTAGCGCCCCAGCTTTTCTGACTGTCAGGGAGTTGTAGCTTTGGCAGCTCCCGTCACCTGAATCAGCTCTTCTGAATTGCTGCTTCTCATTTTTTATTGGCTGGAAAACAAGATAGCCAGACTTGTTACATTTTAATGTAGAAGCCAGTGGATTGTAAATGAGGGGCTGGAGCTGAGTTTTATGGGCAAAGTGGATGGTCTTGCATGGAGGAGCTTGACTTTGTTCCTTGGTCATTGGCCTTCTCAGGTTGTCCTCCACAGGCAGGGCCTTTGCCATGTGCATGGTCACTGTTTTTAGGCAGAGTTTGTAAATAATAGAGCTCTTGGTGTCCCCACTGAATAAGAGAATTTCAGGTTAGATGCTTTTTCAGTTATACCCTTAACATTGGAATTTTGGAAAATCCACTAAGGGCTGTCAAGCGGTGGCTCTTCAGGCTGGCGGTACTTGAATTTCAGTGTGCACACTGCCAATGTGAGCACCAGAAGCCCTGGAATAATCCTGGGAGCTTGGAGAGTATGCCAATGCCTGGCACCCCAGCAGAGACCTGAGTACTGCTCTGGGGTGTGTACTGAAGATAGAGAAATTCTCCGAATGGGTCTCACCATCAACCAGGATCAAGAATGACCACAAACAGAATTCAGAGTACCCCAAGGCCCGTCATGTTGGACCCTTCACAGAGAGGTCGTGAATCGATCAATTTCCTACAGCTTGTAGAAACTCTAAACCTGTGCTGCAGCACAGAGTCCTAGCACTAGAAGGGACTTTGGAGGGCTTCTGGTCTAACACGTATCTTTGTGGATAAGCAAAGGGAAGATGTGACAAGTGATCAGTGGTAGGTGGACCTGTTCCTTTAAGCAAGAGGGTCTAAGACTGTGCTCCAGTGAGTTAATATGTCCTAACATATATCATAATAATTATAATAAAGGCCTGGAGTCCTACTTGTACTAATAGCTTACATAAAGAGAAATAAATACTAGAGCCTATTTTATGAATTAATTAAAAATTAACATTATCACAGCTTGCTCTTTAGCCATTAAAACTTTATATATTAGATTTTAAGTAATCCATTCAGAGTAGTGGTATCTATATATTAATGTTTATAAACAGGATTTGGTAGACTTGAGGGAAAGCAGGCTCCCAGGCCCATGATCTCACTTTAGTAGAGAAAGATTTTTCACAGAAAAATTTCTTTCTGTGAAAGGTGTAAGGAATTTGTATGTAGTAGTGAAATTCAAGTGCACTGACTCCATCAGATAGAGGCAACCAGAGTGAGGTCTAGACGCAGTTCGAAACGTACTTGTAGTTGGCCACGGGAGCACAAATATGGCTTCATCACTTATGGATGGCGGTGTTGACCATGTCCCCCGTTATCCTGCAGGCTCGAGTTCAGTCTCCACACTCACTACTGCCTCTGGATCCAGTGAGCTGCCCATGGTTATCCTGGAGCAGAGGACCAAGCACTAGCGAGCCTCTTTCCTTAAGATCAACTAAGTTGATAATTCTCTGAGAGCTGAAAAGAATGCCGGTCAGCTCTGCACCCACATGGGCGTTGTGGTGGGGTCTTGAGCTTCCCTGCTGGGAAAGAGTGGACCTGCAGGCTTGCTGGAGTTGCTGGGTGGCTCGCATAGAAAACTCAATCAAAAAGAACATGAACTGTGAAATGTAGAAGAACGCCACATAAACAAACCAAATATCAATTGTGCCATCGAAAGTCTTCAGGGTGGCACTGTGCACCATTACCAAGGGCAAGGCTTGGTTGGTGTTTGGGAGACTAAAACTTACACCTGCCCTTGGCCCCACTCAATAACCCTCACACTGAATCTGACTCCTCTCCTCCAGAGTGGTAATTTTTTTTTTGATCCTTTATTTTGTCTTAAATTGGTGATTTAATGCTTTCCTCTGTGTGTCTTGAGAGTTGATTTGCCTTTGGGAATAATGCTCATGTAGCAGCTCCTAATGTGACCTGTACAAGTTTCAGAGACTCTGAGCACTTTTTCCTTCCAGAAGAAAACCAGTGTCAGGTATACATCCTGTAACTCAGTGATGTCCCAAATTTTCTGATCAAGGAGATTGTGGGGCTACAGAGGACAGTGATCGATGATGTAGAGTGTGCCTAAGGAGAGTCACATGGAGAGAAAATATTCTCTCAGGCTTTCACAGAGAGCAAATTGGTCAAGCAATGGCCGTGACTCATCCTCATGGCTGACAGTGACAAAGGATCTCCAATCTGAGGTCCAGGGTCTCAGGATAAATCCTGAGGGAATTGGACTGACCTTGGCAGATGCAAAAGTTACATTTCTTATTATATAGGTCCTGCTTTATCTTGCTCTTAACCATCCAGCAGGAAAGTATAATAATGAGGTATGAAAAGTAAAGCCATATTAATATGCTGAGCTGTAAGGGGCTCAAGTCAACAACTTCTAGCCTTGCCAGTCTTATGGCTAACCTACTACTATTATGGACTACTGGAGAATATTGGATTATTTTGCTGAATTCATACACCTACAATATTTAAATGGTAATGGAATACTCATCTCTCACAAATCTAAACAAAAAAAGGATACAAATGAGGGACCATTTTGAATCTGTATATACAAGATAGTTAGGATAGATATACAGCTACTACTTTCTCATAATTAAATGAGAAGATTTGTACTAATAGTGTTTGGACAGGATATCAGGATATTTATATTGTAGTATGAATAACCATTACAAAGACAATAATATGCAATTTATTAATTTTTGAAACTGTCCTATTAGTTTTGAAACTGTCTCATTGCTATTTGTTTTTCAATAAAATTAATTTTTTTCCATAATTTTATTGAGAAACAAATAGCAATGAGACAGTTTCAAACCAAATTGGTAGGACAGTTTCAATAATTAACACATTGCATACATTTTTCCTAGTGGTTAATTGCTGTACAAGATATGGGCATGATATCCTATTTACAAACACTATTACAACAAATCCCTCTGTTCATTAAGAGAATGTAACTATATATCTATCCTAACCATTTTGAATACACAGATACAAAATGGACGTTCATCTGTATCCCCTTTTTTTATTAAGTTCCATTATTTGAATATTATAGGTGTGTAAACTCAGCAAAATATTCTAAAAGAGTCCAGTAGTCCATAATAGTATTGGGTCTTCCACTTCACTGGCTATGTCAGAAATTGTTGACCTGAGTCCCCTACAGCTCAACATAACAGCATGGCTTTACTTCTTGTTTCTCAATAAAATTAATTTTAAAAAAAGTTGATAACTAAGGGCCCAGGAATGAAGAACCATCACATATCACCCCTTAATATTAGTAAGAAGAGAAACATCTTTGGATTGCTACAGAACATTAGTGAGCTTTACTCCAATATCTTGGGTTCCCCCATGACTGCTTCTGAAGGGATTACTGGGCTTGGTGTGGGGAGATCATGTCAACACAGAGGACACTTGTTTAGTCTGTCACCATCTTCCGTGGTAACATGTGAGGTGGATGGGACACGCACTGGTTGCATAATTCTCCATGTAGCCATAGTGCAGCGTATGGAGGAAGGAGGTTGGGGAGCGCTTGTGGGGCTGCTGAATTGTTGAAAAGATATAAAGTGGATGCTCTCCTTTCTCTGTAGTATGAAATGCTCCATGTCACACCACCAATGAGCTCTCCGGACGTCCTCAAGACGAGTCCTGTGGCTGATGCGGCTGGCTGGGTAGATGTGGATAAGGAAACGTTGCAACACAAGAAATACCCCAACGTGTTTGGGATCGGGGACTGCACCAACCTCCCCACATCCAAGACTGCTGCCGCAGTAGGTAGGACTGCCTGTCTCCCTCCTCCTCAACCCAGGCACTTGTCTTAGTTACTTTTCTCACGTCGCTGAGACAAAATACCTAACATTCAAGAGTCAGAGGAAGAAAGGTTGGTTTAGCTCACAGTCTGAAGAGGTTTCCATCCGTCATCGGCTGGCTCTGAGGTAGGGTGGCATCATGGAGAAGTAGTTCATGGCGGGCTGAAGACCGCAAAAGCAATGAGTGATGACTACGGCTCTTTTTATCCCTCATATCTTATCTAGGCTGCTTAATGAGGGAGACACTCACACCCTTAACCCTAGAGCACCATGTATTAACCCCAGCATCACAACACTAGATCCAACCACCTCAGCCTGGTCACCACCGGTGACCACATGAAGCTTTGGGGGGACATGTAGACACAAGCCATAACAACACCATTATAACAAAACATGAAAGTTTGGCCCAGTCAGGATTCTTTTCACAATAGAAGGCCTGAACATGACCTTGACCTTGAGGCAGAAATAAGCTGTCAAGGAGCCCAGTGCTGCACAAGGCAGAAAAGTATCTTTGGAGAGCTTTGCCCCAGAACTGCACCACCTTCGCTGCTGTTTCCAGGTCAGAAACCTTGCTTTCAGGGAAGGGCTAGATACTCGAGAGAGGATGTCGCTGCTTTAGTCTTCTGGGCTTCTCTTCTCAGGCAGCTTGCTCATAGCTCTGGTATTCTTGGCCTTAGAAGCCAAGCAAGTTGGCTCTTTCATTCCTGCCTGAAATGCAATAAAGCTAGGGAACCTTTTGTTGCCCAGAAAACACATGCAAGTCAATGAAAGCCTGCAGACCAGAAAATTGTTCTGTTAAGACAAACACAGCAGAGCATGCCCAATTGGTACACAATTAAGGCCTCAGCCTGGGAGACTAAATCCTTCACCACCATATCCTCCGGAGCAGTGTTGGGGAGGAGTACCCTTCAGATTGTGTTCTCTTTACCTAGGAAGGAAATCCTGACCTCCTGCAGATGCATGTGGTGCTCCTGAGTGCAAATCTGACACCTGCAGGACCTGTTGTTACTGTCACAGCTTCAGTGGGGAGAAACACTTTCTAGGACTGTCTTATGGATGGTCTTTGCCATTATTACCAATAACTTTTGGCTTTTTAATTTCAAAAATTCAACTCTGTGAAAAATGTGAAAGTATAGTGAATAGTCACACACCTTTCAGGCATCAGTCAGCTATTAATATTTTGGTGATAGCACTTGCTTTATCAGTATGTGCAGGTTAGCTATTTTATGTTCCACCTTAAATCCTCCAGCCTGCATCTCTTAGGACAGTGATGGCGAGCCTGTGGTACATGTTTTTCTTTAAAGACAAAAGATGATCATGGATCTGTTGTTTTGCTCTAAACTGAACCCTTAGAATTCAGGCTTAATCTCAGTGGTAATGCTTTTTGATAAATAAGTGGCCTTCGGGGTACAGTTGGGGCACTTGTCTCTACAAGCTTTGCCATCACTGTCCTAGGAGAAAGAACGTTTTCCTCCATATACTACATTATTATGTCTGAGAATTTAACCCTGTAAAATAAATTCTTCCATATTCAGTTCAGTTTGGATTTCTCTAGTTTGCCTAACAATGTCCCTCTGTCCCTTAGACCTGCTAGCCAGTTGGCAACCACGCCTACATTGGCAGCCATGTCTCTAGTCTTCTTTCATCTAGAACATGTCTTTTATGATGTTGGTATTTTTGACAAGTGCAGGCTGGCTGTCTTGTAGAATATCGCACAACTTGACATTGCCTGGGTGTTCCCTCATGGCGCGGTCCAGGCCACGCACGGCAAGAATCTCAGCCCACGTAGCAGAAGCTGGTCTCGCCCTTGACGAAGTAGATTCATCACTGGGTTACATGGTGTCTGCCATTTTTTTCCATTACAAAGTTACCTTTTTTCTTTGTAATTTATAGGGAGTCTATGGGGGGAAGCTTAGAATTTACATTCACTTAACGCAAATCTACTGAATTTACGTGGTGGCAGTGCCTGTTATGTGAGTCCACATTACCCAGCTTTTCATCTGCTTCTAGCAACCTTTATTCATTGTTCCAGGAAGATAGTATCAGCTCTGGTAAACAGTTACGTGAAGCGTCTTGCTTGCAATCCTGCCTTCATCTGTTCAGCTTCCGCTTTCTCCCCCGTCATGCACCCCACTTTTATGTGCTTTAGAATGTCTATTCTGTTACATGGCTCCCGCAGAGCCTGCTGTTTAAGTCCACTCTTGCTTCATGCTTGGGTTGCTTTCAACACACTTTTATCCCAAATAGCACAGTGGCAGCTCTTGTTTGTCTTTTCATTCCTACGAATGTCTACCTATATCTGCTCATGTCCTCAATGAGTAAATAACAACAGTCCAGCCATCCCCAAGGAGATCCGCCGTTCTCATTGGCTCCCCGCTCCTCTGCACGTCTCTAGGCAATGCTGACACTCTCCCATTTGTTGCTCCTTGTGACCTCCCTGCCAGCTTCCACCAGGCCGCTTTGCTGTGTGAGCGAAGTCCGGTCGTGCTAGGTTGAATGTAGTTTCCCTGGGCTCATGCCTCTTTCTCTGCTGCTTCCGCCCCAGGTTCTCCTGAATTACCCACAGCACAGCCAAGACCTGGATGTGGGATTTAATGAAAGTTAACAAAGGCTTTGCCATAGTGTAAGGAGATTCTTTTTCTTTTTCTTTTTTTGTGGTACTGGTGATTGAACTCAGGACCTTGTGCTTGCCAGGCAAGTGCTTATTCTACTGAGCCATTTCTCCGGGTCCCAGGAGATTCTAATAGATGAAGAAACCACAACTCAAGTCTGAACACATACACACTGTTGGCCCAGTATGGAGTGTGACTACTCCCAGGTGCCCGGGCCTGACCGCCTCTGGGCTGTGGTCCTTCCTGAAGGGCCTCTGTCCTTCTCCACTGCCCTTGAGCCCCTGTAGCAGGGGTCTCCTTAGGAGACCTCAGTGCAGACTTCAAGTCCTTCATGGCTTCAAATAAAAATCAAATTTTCTAAAATGGAAGCATAAGTTTTGGAGGTGACACTCTGCTCAAAATGGAGATAGCCATTGAATACTGTCAAGCAGAGTTTCTCATTTTTTTGAATCTTTTCATTCTAGAGAGAAACAAAAACTTAGGTTTTTTTTTTTTTTTTTTTGTTGCATGTAAGCAAAGTATAGTTTGTGGGCCAAAGGTAGCCTGTCACCTATTTTTGTACAGTTGGTAGACAGTGGCTTCTGTAGGTGGACATTTATAATCAATGTGATAACAGAGGATACTAACTCTTTTACTCAATCTAAAAAAATTCCATTTTTCTTCTAATGAGAATCAGTAGATCTACATTGAATTTTTTTCTATATTCAATTTTTAATCCACAAGATTTTCATGGAATTTTTTTTCTTATAACATATCTAGTTTTTGCTTTTGAACCACAAGACCTAAAATTTTTATCTACAGAACATCTTCTGATACCTGATTTATGAGATTATATTTTAGTGAGCATGTCACAATATAAAAGTAACCCATTTTTCCTGTCTTGGTTACCTTTTACTTGTTGCTGGGACAAAATACCAACACCCAAAATGAAGGAAGGAAAGGTTTATTTAGCTCACAGTTAGTGGAGGTTTCAGTCCATACTCTGCTGGCTCCAAGGCAAAAGGGCAGCAGTTCATGTTGGCAGAAAACAAAGAAGAGCACAGGCGGAGCCATGACATCCTTCAGGACTCTCTTCCTTCTACACTGACTGCTGTGACCCGCACACTACCATGAAGATCGGAGCTCTTCCACAGTGGACGGCTGCGATCAAGCGCCTCTGAAGTGGTGCAGCTGTGAAGTAGCGTGGCGATCAGAGCTCCTCCCAGGAAGTGGGCGCAGAAGCCTGCCTCAATGCCTTTTGTACCCTTTTTGTGCTGAGTCACTCTGGGGCGGGTCCTCCCAGCCCTGGGCTGGGGCCCGGGCATGGAATCCACAAGTGGATCCAGCAAAGCTCCCGCATCTCAAGTTGACACAATGTGTCAACCACCACCTTTCCTCATAAGTAAACCTGGGATTCTACCTTTAGAGACGCCCGCTACTTGTTATCTTTTAAAGGCTGGTCTTCACTATTGAAAATGGAACAGACTGGGATCAGATGGTATTAAGGAATTGTGGCTAATATTTTTAGATGGGAAAGAGCTATTATCCTTGTGATAAAAATCTACCTATGAGAGACAATGGAAGAAAAATACATGCATGCACATCTGTAAAGAGAGAGACCAACGTAGTCAGGTGCAATAGGTGTGTAGCTCCATCTATCTGCTCCGGCCTTTGCCAAGGTGAGTCTGGAAGAGAGAGAAACCCAGTGCTCTGCCTGCTTGCATTGCCTGGGGCTACCATTCAAGGCGTGTCCATGGGGGCCTGGAGATGTCCTGGGGGCCATGGTGCACTGCGCACATAGACCTGTGCATTGGTCCAGCAGGAGGGGCAGTGGCTGGGCAGAGCCATCCTTGCAGAGCTGCTGGAAGGAGCTGGCTCTGCAGAGACTTCTGTGTGGCCCCTCCACTAATGGAAGGACCCATGTGGTGATCAGAACTTCATGGAATATGCAGTCAGGTTCCACTCACAACAATATATATATATATATATTTTGCCAATTAGATTTGATGCAAAGCCTCTGTGTGGATAGTTTTTCTGACTTTTCCATTTCTCTCGTAGCTGCCCAGTCAGGAATACTTGACAGAACAATTTCTCTGATTATGAAGAATCAAACACCAGTAAAGAAGGTTCGTATGTCCTGTATGAATCATTGGATCTGGTGGTTTCCCACAATCTTGCCTCTTTCCTAATGAGTTCTCCAATATGGGCACTTTGATTTTTTTGCCTTTTGTGCTATTTTTTAAAATATACTTTGTATTTGTATAAAAATGAGGGTGCATATATGAAAAGTGGCAACTACTCTGAGCACATAATAAATTCTAAAGTTTCTATATAATTCTGTATAAAAGCTACTTTCCAGCTCAGTTTCATGTGCAATTTTAGTATGACGGCTACACGTCGTGTCCACTGGTGACTGGCTACAACCGTGTGATTCTGGCGGAGTTTGACTACAGAGCTGAACCAAAGGAAACCTTCCCCTTCGACCAGAGCAAAGAGCGGCTCACCATGTATCTCATGAAAGCGGACATGATGCCCTTCCTGTACTGGAACCTCATGCTAAGGTGGGCATGTCACCTGGGCCTGGTGTGTGGGGCACCCTGTTAGCATTCTGCGTCACCTTGTGTGAGGAGAGGGTTCCAAGGATGCCTTCCAGCTTCTGCTCATAGCTTGTACTTGCCAATGGCATCCATCCTGCTGTGCTACTTCTCACGACAGTGCCAGGAGTCATTGAGGGGGTTCTAGCACCTTCACCATTCTGGGGGGAAGGGCTGGCCTGGGGGGAAGTGAGTTGTAGCTGTCCACCTCCTTTGAGGACACAGTCTACCTCTTCAGCACTTGGGTTCACCCAGGCTTCTGCCTCTATTCTTGGACCTCTCTTGCTGCTGGGTAATAGTAACAAATCATTTGAACTTGTCAATACTTTCTCACCTGCTACTTTATGTTTTAAAGAATATTAAATTTGGGGGAAAAATAAAAGTGATGGACAGCCCAGACTTTGGGGTCTGACCTGTGTTCGAATCGTGCTTCTGCCATTTCCTAGCTTACGCTCTAGGGCAAGTTGCTTAAACTCTCTGTGTTTAAGTTTCTTATTGGCAAGACAGAAGTAATGTTGTCTGTCTCATAAAATGGGGATTAGTGAGATAACACCAAAATGGATAAAACGAGGCATTCAATAGATACAGTGTTATAAACGGATACTGCCCCCTCTTTGTTCTAAAAGTTGATGATCTGTTTTGGCTTTCTCAAATTCATGTCTTCAGCCAAGGATGACTTTGTCGCAAGGGCCATTGGCAATATCAGGGATACTGCTCTGATCCTGGGACACCCCCGTAAGGCAGGACTCCCCCATAGTGCCGTTAGGGCTGAGGTTGAGAGGCCTGCCTGCCTGAGCAGATGGAAGCAGGGACGGGAGCAGCTTGCGGATGGTGAGGTGTCGTGCGGGATTTCTGAATGAAGTCAGCATGTCCAGGCCCACGCGGCAAGTCTGCAGCAAGCCAGAGCCGTGAGGCGGGCGTCTCCCGGTCACGGGCTCTGTCTTCCTCCCCTGATAGACCTACTTTGTGTGCTTGGAGCATCCGGGCTCCCTTGAAGATACTGCTGGCTGAAGTTACCCCGTTTCTTTTGCCCCAAGTAACTTCTACATTGTTTCTCATAGAGGCTACTGGGGCGGACCGGCAGTTTTGCGGAAGTTGTTTCATCTGGGTATGAGCTAAGGACGGCTCCACTCTGGCCCTGGTGGATGGCTCCTGGGTCAGAACTGCAGCTTGCGCATTGACCGAGGATGGCATGAAGGGCTCTCGGAGCCCTGTGAAGACTTTCTTGGATAACGGTGACTTTTGGGGTCCCTCTGAACTTCCGTGATGTGGGCTGACCAGAAGAAGCTTGAGTCTTTGGAAATGTGCAAGTAATAGACTTCTGTTTTCTAAATAAAAATTTGTCGTTTCCATGAGAATATCGTCTCTTGACTGGTAGGACTGAAAAGAGGCTATTGCACTACTGTTGGCGGGCTGACTTTCTTGTTTTTCACTGCCAGTGGTCAACCTGTGGCTGGTATAACTGCCCAGAGCCTATTTGGGGACTTAGGAAAGTGACTGCAGGGACAACACTGCTTCAGGAGTGAGTGGCGGCCCTGAATATTGAACAGTTAGGAACCCTTGCTGTGGGGCCCGGCGCTGTGGGCAGGGAGCCCCTTCCACCCTTCCACTCCTTTGTCTACTGCTGGGCTGGTGCTGTCCCCAGGTATCCGCAGAGCTCTTCCCTGTGGTGCTTAGAAGCATTCAGTTTCAGTTTGGTCTGGCTTTTTTTTTGTGTGTGTGTGGCAGAACTGGAGGTTGAACTCAGATCCTTGCGTTTGCCAGTCAAGCACTTATCCTACTGAGCCATCCTACTGAGCCATCGCCCCAGCTCCATCCGTCAGGCTTTTTAAAGTATGAATATTTCATATTTATAAATACTCTTGAGCAGAAAAACATAACACTCTATACAGTGCCTTAGAGTTTTTAATAACACAGGGTGCAAGCCTTTGTGTGTTTCTCCAGTCTGCCAAGGGCCTCTGGCTTTCAGGAGTTCATCAGATATCTTTGAAAATTGACCAGGGATTCATCTATTCACCCAATGAATTCTTACTGAGCGCCTACTACTTACCAACTACTATTTTTGGTCCAGAGGACTCAACGATGACCCAGACGTATAAGGGCCCTGATCAAGTGTCTGTGGCTTCTGCGTTGATTTCCCGCTCTTCTTTTCCTGGGGTGCCTGGCAGCTTGCTAAGTGCAGCTGGGCCTTGATTAGGAGTGGACTTCCCTCAGGGGCATGCATTCTGGGAGAGAGTAGGGGACCGCCCAGCAGCAGGGATGGAAGATTGTTTCCAGAGGGACCACATATCCTGGTTTGCGGTGACATTCATGGTGAGCACCTGCCATCCAAGTGCAACACCTATTTCCATGTTCCAAAACTGTCCTCTTTGGGCAACAGAGTGTGCCCACCAGTCCCCACCCTTGGGTCCAGTGTGGGAGAGCAGGGCTCCACATGGTGCTAGCGTGGGGCTTGCTGCTGCTGTTGCTTTCTTCCCTGTGGTGTTCATGCAGTGAGCAGGGCTGGAATCACGCCTTCCTGTTTGTAGAGTCCTGGGCAAAGACGCTTCATAGGTCTGTGCAGCTTCTGCCTGAGTCTGCCTCCCGATGGGTAGCTCGTGCTTGCAGGGTTGCAAACTCAGGGCAGACTGTGAGTTTATCCCCAATAATCCTCTGCAGGACCCAAGAGGTCCTGGGGGCTGGTCCAGCCAGGACCCCGTCCTCGGATATGGACAGAAGTGCTGGCCAGGCAGGCTCTGGGCTTCTAGAAAACATGGCTGTGATTCCTGGGACCAGAAGGGGCTCGGGGGGAGTGAGTGAGATCCTGGCCTGAGGTAACCCATGCTGTGGGCTGTTTATAATGCATGCTGAGTAAATCTTCAAGTCCCATCAAGTGGCCTTGGAGATCACTTCTGCAGCGTTCCTTGCCAAGGCTGGAGGCAGATCCCCACTGGCCAGGCCACTGGTCTCTGGTATGTTCTTTTGTCTCTCCTATGAGCTTGGACAGGAAAACAGAGAACCTTTGCTAACTTCCCGAAAAATTTAGTTTCTGAAACTTATCACCTCATCCACAACCATAGGAGTGGGGCCAAGGGAGAGCTCCTTTCTAAGGAGGAGCGGGCAGCAGGCAGAGGAGGTGTGCCCAGGGCTGGCATAAGGGCAGTGTACTCTCCATGAGGGGTGCCTCAGGTTGGGGCTCTGCTTGTGGCCTGGAGGCTTGGCCTTGTGCAGGGGTCCAGGCTCAGGCAGTGCCTCCAGAATCTGATGTGACACTGTGCTGAGCTCACGAGCTCAGGGAACCCACCAAAGCCCTCCCTCCTTGTCTCTAGAGCTTCCGTCTCAGTTCCCACTTTGGCATCTCCCCTGGACACAGCCTCCCTTGGACTAGAGCTTTCTGCCTGTCTAGCCACAGTGAGGCCACCTCAGGGCTCTCCAGTGTCCCTGCGCTAGCTGAAGGGCACCAGAGCCCTCTGACCACTCCCTCTGCCTCATTTCAATGGAGGTCCCCAGCTAAAAGGTCCCCAGTGTCAGAGTTAGTGGGTGTGGGCAAGGGGCTAAGAGTGTGGATCTGGGTGAAGCCTTTCGGGGTTTGAATCTCAGGTTCTGCCTTTTGCTGACTTTACAAGCTGGCAGAAGGCATGCAAGCTGTGTGGGCCCCTGCTTTCTTACTTATAAGTTGGGAATTACCATGCCGTCTTCCTTACTGAGTTACTGTGGAGATTAAATGCATCAACTCAGATGTGGTTGTTCATGGCTATAATCCTAACACTCAGGAGGCTGAGACAGGAGAATTGCCACAAGTTTGAGGCCAGCCTGGGCTACACAGTGAGAGTCTTTCTCAAAAGCTAAAAATCAGACAAATGAAAAGAGCCAAAAACTTCTTATGTATGAGATGTAATGAAACTATAGTGAATATTTAATTAAAAAATTACAATAATATACAGCATTAACCCCCCTCAAAATAATTTCCTTGCTTTGAACACACTTCTCCCACTGTTCTTGTTGCTTTCTGAAGCAGTTCTGGAGGTCCTCTTTCAGGAGTGTATTTATGAGACATGACAAAAGCTATGGCTCTTCCTCCATGCCAAAAAGACCAGGGAAAGGGAAAATTTTGAGTTGATCCAGGACACTGAGGCAGCCACAACAGCACAATGAAAGACACTCAGAGAAGAGGGCTTCCAGAACTGCAGCAGGAAATGGCAAGAACAATGGGGCAAGTGGGCTTGAAGAGAGGGGAGTCTTCTTAGGGGCGTCATGGGCATGTGTCTGTTACTGTAATAAATTTAATCCAATTTAAATATTCACCGTGGTTTTGTGTCACACCTCCCATAAGAAGTACCACGTACTCCCCAAACACCAGGAACTGTGCCAGGTATAATCGACCATACATTGCTTCAAATCAGCCCCAAGCTGGTTGTGTGCTTCTGGTGAGCTGCATGGAGCAACCCACGGCAGTGGATGGGGCTCCTTCCCAGAGGGGGCTGGGAAGCTGGACGGAACCACAGGGCGTGACTCCTGCCAGGCTGGTTTGCAGAAGAGCCACTGTGTGCAGGCTCTCGTGTATACGACTGCATTCCATAGAGATCTGCAACCAGACGTCTTGTTGGCTATTGAGGATTAATGAGCAGGACAATGCCTTATTAACTGTTCCCAGAAACACTTCATTTCTTGAGCGTCTGATATATGCAATTTCCTGGGGCTTCATCAGTGAAAGCCCTTGATTATTTATGTGTCCATCATGCAAGCTACCCGGATGGAGGTCTCCTCTGTCTGCTCACAGCTGTCAGAATACGCCATCAACAGACACCAGGAATCCAGGGAAAATGCACAGAAGAAGGTGCAGTCTGAGCCGAAATAATCAAGATTTGCTTTATTGCAGGAGACAGAAATACAACTCAGATATGCTTGAGAAAAAGAGAAACTTACTAGCTCATGTGATTTAAGGGTAGTCTTCAGGAACAGCTAGGTCCAGAAGTCAAAACTACCAGCCAAGATGCTCTTGCTTGATCTCTCAATTCTTTTTTCTTTCAAGCAATTCTTCTACTGTGGCCATGGCAGGGCTGTGTGTGTGGTCTCCACACATGGCCCTCCCTGGAGGGAAAAAGCAACTTTGCTTTCTTAGGGTTCATAGACCAATGCCAAGGGAGGATTACGATTGTCACCTGATCAATACACATGTTTCTCCTATCTGAATGAATGCTGGGTTTTGTCTTCTTGTGTTTAGTGCTGTCTTAGCAGGACTTAGCACAGTATGTGAGGTACACAGTACATGCTCAGTAAATTTTGGAGGGAGAACAGAACTAATTAGATAAATGTTGGCCACTGCACACTCCAGATCTAGTGGAACGGGACTTACAACTAAAAGAGAGAGATTGGTAGAAAAGGGACCAGGACAGGCACACACCCTTGTCCCCCTGTGGTTTGGACCCATGAGCCTTGCCCTTGTTCGGCCAGGTGGAGCGGAGGAAGGTTCCAGGCTGGGGACAGGATGTGCAAAGGGGTTGAGGTGAGAGGACGTGGTGGCTGTAGGTCATTGACGTAGACAAAATATGGGACCACAGAAAGAGAGGTGGGACATGGGCTTCTGGGCCTTGGGCTGGGGCTTTGTGGTGCTTTTCTTCCTGCAGCTCTGGCTCCAACCCTGTGCTCCTGGTGGCCAGTGGGTGCTATCTAATCAGTGGTCTCTCCGGCTGTGTGGATTCTGTCAAAGGGGGAGTGGGAGGAGATGGGAGAGAGGGAGGAGAGAAATGGTGGCTTTTGGTTCCTCTGGCTGTTTGCTGCAGGGCTGCCTTGGCCCCATAATGTGGCAAGAATGGTATCCGAAACTACAAATTTACTCACTTTTATAGCAATGTGGTACAGATTTTTAATCTGTTTAGTAATTAAAAAAATTTTTTTTTAATGACACTTGGGCTCAAACCCAGAGCCTCAAGCCTGCTAAGATCCCATATTTTATGTATGTTTTCTCATCTCATTTTTCCTAATCATTTTTATATTGTGTTTTATAAAGTACTAGTCTGAGAATTCAACCAAAATGAAATGCAAACAAGAGTTCCAAACTTGGTCCTTCCATGCAGATCCCTGGAATTTACTCTACAGGCCAGGGCCAATGGTCTTCAGCATGGTGGGTCTGGGACTAATCCAGTGGTACCAAGGAAGAGAAAATTCATAGACATTTAGAAGGAAAACAAAGATCACAGTATAAATAGTTTAAGCAGAAGTTAAATATTGCGCAGGCTGGCAAGGTGTGTCATGAGACAAATGAGGCCCAGTGCTCGTTTTTATAAGTAAAGCCTTAGTGGAACTCAGTAGCGTGTTCCACAGTGATGTTATGGTGAGTCGTGTACTTGCTAGAGAGACTGTGTGTGGCCTGCACACC